AAATATACTACTATAGAACAAGAATATCTTATAATGGTTTTTTTTGTCAAAAAGTTTAGATACTATCTTCTAATGAATCCAATAGTATTTTTTGTAGACCATATGGCAATCAAATACCTTATTAACAAGAAAAATTTGAGTAATAAACTTGCAAGATGGATACTTCTACTATAGGAATTCAATTATACAATAGAATATTAGCTTAGAAAGATGTACAACCAAATAAATCATTTATCTAGATTGTCAAAGCAAATTGGTGAAGCTCTAATTGACAACACTTTGATAGATGAAAGCTTCTTTGTTGTTTTGACCATTCAAACTTGATATTAATTAATTACTAAATTTTTGATAACTCAAGCTCTTCTTTACCACTGTCAAAAACAAGAACTTGATAAAAATAAATAAATAAGTGAGACTTCTCTCAAAGAAAGATGACAAAATAGAAATAACTCAATATGTGTATTAAGAAAGAAACTCAAATGGCTATTGCCAAAAGATAAGAAAATTAAAGACCCTTGAAACTAGACTAGAAGCAAAAAAGGAATTGACAAGAGTGAAGAGGGCTTCATTCTTGTCTCTATATATACTATCTAACTAGGGGCTATGTGGTGATGTTCTATAGGACCTTCAATATGTGTTGACTTTGAAGGACACATGTCTTAACTTACAAGGCAAGTTTTTCTACGTGTGGGCCACATAGTTAGCTTGGTCTTCAAGCTAACAACATGTGTAGCACATGGCCAATTTGTTGACTATGTTTTTAATCCAAAAAGTTAATTAAAAATACCTATAAAGTCAAAGTAGCATCTATAAGCTTCTAAGAAGCTTGTATAGAAAATATTATAAAATTAACTTATTTTTACCTAATTTTAGTTACTTCTACCTATTTATACATGTAATTACTGGCTTACATGCGTATGTCGATGACACCCACTTTTCTAAAATAAAACATAAAAAAGTAAGAATCAATAATAGATACTTTGTCATAATTGAAGTAAATTATATAGATGTAGAATTGATAGGATATTGATGAGGTATGTGATAAAAAATAAAATTTCCACCATTCTATCAACATGTCATAATAGTGTATATAAGAATAACTTTTTGAGAACCTTGATTGGATAAAAAAATCCTTAAAGCTAACTATTACTAGACTATATTATTTTAAGATACACATAAATATGCTAAAACCTGTGATGCATGTCAACAATATACTAGGAATAATCTAAAAATGAGTTTATCTCTTCATGTGTTCCTACTTTTAATTTTTTTTGAAAAATAGAGAATTGATTATATTAGAGAGGTTCACCAAAATTCCACTGGTGATATGAAATACATAGTAGTAGCAATCAAATATTTGACTAAATGAGCTAAGGAAAAGGTAGTTAAAGCCAACAATGCCAAACAAGCTTCTAGATTCTTCTATGAGTAGATTATCACTAGATTTGGATGTCCAAAAATTTTGATCAATGATAGAAAAAAATATTTCTTAAATAAGATGATAGAAGACTTGACCTCATGATTTAAAATTAATCATAGGAAGATTAATCCTTATCACCTTCAAAGCAATGGTGATATAGAATGAATTAAATGAACTTTAATTTATATACTTAAGAAAATAGTAACAACTTCTAAACAAGATTGGAATATAAAACTTCCTACAACCTTGTAAGCTTATAAGATGATGTTCAAGGTGAAAATCCAAGCAACTCCATTCTCCTTGGCTTATGGCATAAAAACCATTTTATCAATTGAATTTGAGATTTTTTTTCTTTGTATCACCTTGATAGAAAAATTATCAACTAAATAATCTTTAATTGATAGGCTTGAATAATTAAAACATCTTGATGAAGCTAGAAGATAAAGTGTTCAATATACAAAGGCAATTCAAAGAAGAAAAATAATTACCTTTGACAAATAACACAAGCTTAGAACCTTTAGGCCTAGCATGTTGGTTCTTTTATAAGATGCCAAGAGATTAGATTTTCTAGATAAATTTAATGCCATATGGTTGAGACCTTATTTGGTCAAAGAAGTCTTTTCAAATAATTTAGTTTGGTTGTAAACTCTAAATGGAGAAGTTTTTCTTATCAGAACTTTGAAAAATAAATGCAAAGAATATAGAGTGTGATTTTTATCATACAAAGGATTAAATGACTTATCCTTAAATTCACTCTTATTCAACTTTTGAAATGAAGAATCATTAAAATTGGATAGAATTTAGAATACTAAACCTTTGAAATTACAAATTAATAAATAATATATTCATTTATCTTGTCTTCTTTTTAATTTAGCACTTTACTAAAAACTCCATATATTCTAAGCTAAAAAGAAGAGTATGTGATGTGACTAAAATATTAAAAAAAAAAAAAAAGTGAAAAAATGGCAGTTAAATCTTGTTTAATTATCCAAAGAAAGTAAGATTACTAGTAACTAATTATTTTAGGAAAAAAGATGCATTTAGAGTGATTAAAATTAAAATATATTATAAGTAGTATATAAATCCTTAGACAAATAGAAAATTAGAATATTAACTGTAGAAAAAAATTCTTAATAGATTTTAGAGGCAATTATTTTAGTTGATTTAGTATTTTTATTTATTGTTGAGTATTAAAGGTTAATTATTAAGATCAATATCTATATTGGCTTTCTATCTATATATATTACTTATAAATAACTAAAAATATTAGTTAGTAGTTAGAAGAAATATGAAAAAGAATCTCATATCATTTTAATTATTGATATAAAAAATAAGATTTATAATTGATTTAAAGTAATTTTATTATTATAAAAATAACAAAAGTAAGAAAATATAGCTTTAAATTTATATTTATATTATAAAAATATTATAAAAAATTATTTATAATTTATTTATAATTTTTTAGGAATTTTTTAAGAAATTTTCAAAATTTTGGTAAAAATGAGTTTTATCACTTTGGGAGCCATTATGAAGAAATGGAGTAAGTTTTGAAGGCCATACAAAGTTTCTACGCTAATTGGGTATTTTTAAATACTATAAAAAAGTCAAAAATGAAAAAAATATTGGTTTTATTAATAAAAAATAGGAGGATCAGCAACTAGTATAGCCCTTGTAAGAAGGAAGGTGCATAAGTTCCATAAGGGTTGTACCATCTTGAAGGTAGTTAGGAGGATAAGACTAAGGCCTCATAGCCTCTTTTAGAGATCCATATACATTGCTTGTGAGCCTTAGTGAGGCTCAAATTCTTAATCTCTTAAGCAAGTTATCCTTGAAATAAAAATTATTCACTTAATTTTTTATTATTTCTATAAAATTACATTATTTATTTTTTAATTTTAATTTTTACTAGATAAAAATCTACTAAACAAATTGTGAATATTTTGTAGTATAGAATTACTTGATTATAATTGTTTTATTTGTTTTGTGTTGTGTTACTTTTGTTCTTGTTTTTGCTACTTCTACTTTACACCACCAATTACAAAAAAATTTAATTGAAGCCAACTTATAATTTGGATTAAGAGATGAAATTTATCTTCATAGAACACTTTGATGGAAGCAACCACCACAATATAGATCCTATAATAGAATTCAAATAATATTGTCTTTCAAAGTCCTTATGAATTGCATGTCTACAAAAATTTTGGCAAAAAGAAGAAGGCGGACAGCAATTCCAATCTAAACTAGCACTACCTTTAGTTGAATAAGAAATTAAACAATCAAACATCTCAAACTACAACACCATTGCAAATACTAATTTTAATTTTAAAAATTAGAAGCATATGCCACTTGTTTCAATTGCACCACTCATATAATACAAAGGAAGAGAAGAACAAGTTTTGGAGTGCTTTGAACTTAGAAAAAAACAAGAAAAAATATCAAAACAAGAAAAGTGAGAGCAAATCCAAGGCAACCTAGATCCTTATCACCATAGAAGCTCTCAAAATTTAGAAGCACCCTCTTGTCTTCTATCCATATTCTTTTATTCTATTTATTTTATTTTATTTTATTTCTTTATTTCTTTATTTCTTTTTTTTTCTTTTTTTTCTCTACTTTCTTATTCTTCTTTTTGTTTTTGTCTCTTTTTTTCTTATAAATTGACTACTTCAAATTTACCTTCTACTTCTAATCTACTTAATCTTTAATGGAATAATTCTATTACAAAAGACATTATAATTCTATATCAACTCCATTAAAGAGAAATTTACTTATTTTAAAATTCTTCCTCCAAAAATCTTACTAGGAACCTAATCTTGTATTTAAAATCCTATTTTTGCTATTTATCTCTAAATTCATATATTAACTCACTAAATTGGTAATTTTAAGTACTCAAAGTATAATTTTTTTATTAATTATAAAAAAGAGTCAATTATATAACTTACACTCCTTTTAATCAAAAGAATAAAAATAAAGATCTAATATTATAAATATATTTTTATCAATTTAACAAAGACAAAAACTTAATGAAGACAAAAAAATAAATGAGATCCTTTTCAAAGAAAGATGACAAAGTAAAAATAAAAAATATATATATATTAAAAAGAAATTATAATGGTTATTACCAAAAGATAAGAAAACTAGAGATCCTTGAAATTAAACTAGAAGCAAAAAAAGAGTTGATAAGTATGAAAAAGGCTTCATACTTGCCTCTATGTATATACTATTGTGAGGTAAAATAAACTTCCACTAGTTGAAAGGTTATTCTAGTTCACAACAAGTGAATTAGTTACATGAATTTCGGAAGTTATAGGTATTAATTAGATCTTAATCAAATCACTCTTTATTCTTCTTAAATAATCCAATCAATGAAGTCAAAATTCTATTATCAACTCCTACTTCAAATAACAAGTCACTTGACAGCTTCCATGCAGAAAATAATTTTTAATATATTATTATTTTTTTATATTTTTTATTATTTTATTTATTATCTTATTTTAAATTTTAATTAAAATTCATCTATTGACAAAAATTCATCCTTAAATAATAATTCATCTAAATATAACATTTTATCTAAGTATGAAAATTCATCTAAATAATTTTCATCCAATTTAAAAATTTCCATTCAACTTCAATTATTCATCCAAATTAATCTAAGTTCATCCAATCCAAGTCATCCTCTTTGAAAATCTTACATAGCTAGCTTGATGGAGTCAACTTGTAGTTGTCTTCTGCGACCTGCTCTGCCACTACCAAACTCCAACACCACCGAACTCCCTATGCTGATCGACATCTCCTTCCCTAGAACCATGCATATAAGTCTCGGCTAGCGTCAAAATGCCCTCCGCTGTCGATGAAATCTGCAGCAGCTCCTTGCAGTCGGACACCACTCTAACGAACTCTAGCCAAGCCCCTCCAATTGGTTGATCTCCTTGTTGTGAGACTCCATCAAGGTGCCGTCTTCAAACTAGAGAATCAGCTTCACATCCCCAGAAGAGAATGTAGAGATCAAGAACTTCCGACTTCAGCATCGAGGGACTGCCTCCAGTTCTGCACTGAATCCTTGTTAAATCCAAAAACCATCACAAAAAGGCACCTAGAAACTTAAATAGCAACTACATGAGACTCGTGGTACCAAACTGATCGTGAATGGAAGCCCTTTGCGTTAAGTTCCGCAAAATGATGCAAGCAGTTGAATCCTCGGTAACTTCTACAAACCGCGGTGGAATCTAGACCTTTGATTCTACCCTCGTATCAAGTGCATCAGATTTGCATCACCATGGATACTGACCATAGCAACCTTGTGTTCTTCATCGACACCTTCGAGCAAGGCCACGCAGTGCAAACACCAATGCTACAACTCATGATTTTAATCAGATATACCAAATGCTCCTCCTGATATCGCTAAGCTCTTCTACTCCGCATCTCTAGACACCAAAACCTCATTCAAAAACTCATCAAGTTCCGAAAAATACACTATTCCAAAGACCTCACAAGATGAGGAGTGCAAATCCAACACCGCAGACAGCCAATCAACCCCGATCAATGAATGCAATCGAATGAAATACCACCCGATCGAGCGATGTCGAGCTCCTAGTACAAGTGCAAGGTGGCCCAGGTTGCTTGCCGTCGGAACCAGGCCGAAATCATGGCTGTTGATGACTATTGCCAAGTCAAGGAGGGAGGAGACTACTGCAGAATGAGAATTAGATAAAACACAACCACCGCCACTTTGTTGTTGAACAAGGTAGACAGCAACGTTGCCCCCATCCAGCACCACTGGAACTTCTTCAACAAACCAAACCTTTTTCAGCACCACCAACCATCCGGTTGAATCAAATCGCAAAGCACAAAAAAAATGAGGAGAGAGCTGATCTCCACCGCAGCATCGTCATAGCCACCACGTCGAATCGAGCGTGCACTTGAATGCCGCAACACGTTGCTTGAAGGAAGAGAAACCAACGTCACCGCACGAACACAATAAAAAAACATTAAAAAAAAGAAAAAAAAAAAGTCGCCTTGATCGGAGCCGGAATCAAAAGAAAAAAAAAAAAAAACAAAACAAAACAAAACAAAACAAAAAAACAAAAAAAAACAATACAAAACCAAAACAAGAAAAACAAAAAAAAAACAAGAAAAACAAGAGATTGCGTCGCCATGACTCTAAAGAATTCCCACGCCTCGCTGCAACTTGACTGCAAGAACTTTCCACTCTAGCCATAGAATAAAAATCGAAAGAAAGTCTCACCCAAGCCGCTAGTAGACCACGATATCCAAAACCAATGCTACAATGCAGCACTTCAACGAGGAAGGGAACAACGTTGAGGAGAGCCGATCTATGCACAAGCCGACGTCGCAACCAAGCGAAATTCCTCAACGCCGTCCAGGAATAAAAAAAGAAACAAGAAGAAACTCGAACAGCTTTGTAGCCAGTTGGATGAGCCAAGGCCAACCTCGCCCACAATAAGCACAACGTCGCACATAACCGCGCCGCACCCACAAGCTTGCTCTTGAATCGCAACCGACATCGAGGAAGACAAACTGAAGCCCAGCTCATCAAGCCGTGACACTTTGTATTTTGACAATGGTGCCCAAGAAGCCAGAACCATAATGTGGAGTTACGCCAGACAATCAAACGGTACCACCGCTCGAATCAGCAACAACCTCACTGTCGCACCGCATGACGCATACACGTACAGAAGAAAAAAAAAAAAAAAAAAAAAAAAAACACGCTCAGGAAGAAATTCCGGAGCGATTGGAGCTCGGAACTCAACAACCAAAAACTGAAAAAAAGGAGAGAGGGGAACTCCAGACCCCTATTGGCTGCGGAATTCTTGGGCAGCCTCTCGCCCTCCTCATCACCTTTCTTTTTTCCTTCTTTCTCGTCTTTTCTTTCTTTTTTGCTTCTTCCTTTTTTTCTGTTTTTCTTTTGGTTGACTTGAATCAAAGATCCTTCTTAGCTTCTAGTCTATTCAAATAATTCATAATAAATAACTACTATTAAAATATTATATTTTATATTAGCTATTTTAAGGAAAAAATATTTTTTTTAGAATTTCTTCTCAAAAATTCTATTAGAACCCTTTCTTACAACTATTATTCTATTATTTTGCGATTTATCTCAAAATTCCTACACTAATTCACTTAAATAGTGATTTTGAACATTACAAGTGCATTTTTTGTACTAAAACATATTAATAAGTCAATTCTATTGACTTTTTCCATGTTTTCACTATCAAGATTAAAATAATTACAAATCTACAAGCATATGGTGTTAATTGATATTACTCTTATACCTTATGTGGTTTCTGTGATTGTCCATCTTTCTTGATGTTGATCTTGTTTTCTTAGCTCCCAACTCTCATTGCTATTAAATATTTTGTCTCAAGTTTTTTAGCTTTTCAATGTGTACTTTCAATATTATCATCCATCAATTAGTGGATTGATGTCAAAACTGTAGTTTGTTAAAGATTTTTAATTAGCAAAGATCCTCCAAGCATATATTTGGTTTTCTATTTAAGTCTCAATGTTTTGCATTTGAATCTTATATTGTAAATTTTAATAGGTTATAGGCCCATGCCATGATAACTTAGAATCTTTATAGAATATCAAGTAGTAGATTCATCTAGTTTTTTTAGGTTTTTTTAAATCTAATTGATCTACCATGGGAAGTAAAATGGACATGTAAGATGTCAATAGCATATCAAGATTGAAAATTGATAGTGATTGGCAGCTATAGAAATTCTAGATGAAAATATTTTTTTTACAACTAATGAATTGATAGAAATTGTTGATAGAAGCCAAGTGCAACTAGTTGTCACTAGTATTGCAACAGCAACAAATTAGAAGAAGAAGAATAACAAAGTATGCATGTACTTATATATTACTATAGATTAAAAAGTGATGAAGAATTTAATAAATTATGAGATTGCAAGCGACATGTAGACACAGTTGAATTTATTTCACAAAAGTCATATAATAAAGAACAAGCATTTACTTTAAGTATAATTTTCTCAATATAAGATGAATCTTATCATGGACATACATATTTACTCTAATATTTAACTATATGATTAAATAAAAATAAATAAAAGTAGATTTATTTCATAATATTATCTAAAATAGCTTCCTAAAAGTTTCATAGATGCTGCTTTGACTTTACATGTATTTGTAGTTGATTGATAGGTTAGAAACTTGATGAACAAGTTAACCACAATTTGGTGGCTTATGGAACAAGTTAAATATGTGGCATATACATAAAAAACTTGCCTTGAAAGTTAAGATACATGTCTTGTAAAGTCAACACATTTTGGAGGTCTTACATGACAATGCCATATAGCTCATAGTTAAGAGTATATATGGAGACAAGAATAAAGCCTTCTTCATTCTTATCAATGCCTTTTTAGTCCTTAGTCTTGTTCCAAGACTTTCTAGTCTTCTTATCTTTAGCAATATCCATTCTAGTTTAATATTATATCATCTTTGAGTGATTTTCTAGTCTTTTCAAATAATAGAAGAGTATATTCATACTTTAATTTTTTGAGATTCATATCCTTGATAAATCTTGAGTATGTGTGAGTCACGCAATTGACTCATTTGTGTATTTAAAACCAAAAAATGCACTTACAGTCCTTAAAGCCATTAGTTTTGGAAGTTAATATAGGAATTTTGAAATAAATATCAATTAATAGGATATAGTGGATAGAATAGGACTTTTGCAAAAATTCTTTGAAAAAAAATTCTAAAATATATAATTTTTTTTTAATTTAGCTAATATAAGTCTTGATGTGATAGTAGTGGTTTTTATTGACATTAAAAGATTTAAATTAGATTAGAAGGTGAAGTAGAATTCTTGATTCAAAATCATCCAACAAGAACAAAAGAAAGAAAAGAAATAGATAAAAATAGAAAGAAGAATAGGAAAGCACAGAAAAAAGAAAGTAATAAAAGAAAAAATAGGATGAAATAAAAGATGGATGGGAGGCAGAGGTTGCCTCCGAATTTTGGCAACCTCTCTACCGATAAAAGTCTAGGCTGCTTCAGATTTGCTCTCTCCTCTCTTGTTTTTAATTGGATTTTATTCTACAAGCTCTAGCGCTCTGAAAAGGTCTAGTGCTGTCTCTTTGGCATTATAGGTGTGTTGCGGTGCAGCAACTTTTTGCTCTTCTATTTTCTTTGGTTGTTGGTGGAGGGTGTTGCAGGTGCTCTTCCGGTGAAGGCTGTTCTTATGCTTTGTGAATTTTGACATTGGGTTGAAGAACTCCAAATTTTTGGTGGCTCCCTGATTTGTATGTGTGGCTGCAGAGGTGCTATAGCTGATGTGGATGACTGTTCCTATTGAAAACGTCATTATTATTAATATGATCAATTGATACACAATATATATATATATATATATATATATATATTATGTGTACCATGGTTACACCAAAAGTCACAACTCTTGGTATAAGGTCAATATATAGTAGATAGTATTCTATACAAGAGACTAGTGTACTATATAATATAATTCTTCTAATACTCTTATTAGTACACTAATCTTCATCCTTGAATTGGATTTCATCTATTAGAGAAGTTCATCCATTATGAAAAATATGTAGGAAAAATATAGGGTTTTAATTTCCTTTTTGGATGTTGCATTGATGTAAAGCTCTCTCACAGCTCTTCCAATGCTTCTTTAAATCTGAGAAGGTATGTGTTTTTTTGTTGATTTTGAACTGTTGTTAGATTGTGTTTCATGATTGCTTCACGCACACTCCTTTTTTGTTGCGAAGCTGTTTTTGTTGTTGTTCTTAAAGGCATTGCTGCTATTAAAGATTGCTGCCACCATGAAGATTGGCTCTATTGCTTGCATATACATTGATGGAAGGTCGGCTGTCGATGTAGGCACCTTGACGGGCTTTGCGGTGGGATTGACCGTCGATGCGGGGTCGGCCATGGCGGGCTTTGCTGCTGCAATGGAATCGACTGTGGTCGACTTCGCTATTGCTATAGCAAGCTGCACTATTGCAATGGAGTTGCCAGCTAATGCGAGAATAGTCGTGGCGGGCTCTGCTGCTGCTATTGTAGTAGGCTCTGTTGTTGCTGTGGTGAGTTCCGCTTCTCCTATGGCAACAATTTGTATATTTTGATATTTCATGGATTTTGAGTGAAGGAACTTACTGTGTGTTCTCTCATTCCATGATGTATCAAAATATGGTTGTTGTAGAAGGTCTGATGATTTAGAGTAGACTAATAATGCTTGAATTTTTGTAGAATAAGTTTCTTGTTTTGAATTTAGAGGAATAGAATACATGCCTAGTTGAGATAGGCACTGGAAATGTTTCTCTTTGGGAAGGGATTTTGTAAATACATTTACTGTCATATATGTGGTTAGCTCATATTGTAATTTAATTTCCTTGGCAAGTATCTATTCTCTTGTAAAATGGTATTGTGTATCCACATGTTTGCTTCTGGAGTGATATTTTGGATTTTCATTGAGAGCAATTGTACTTTGACTATTTGAATATATGATAGTTGGTGCATGTTGAGGGAATCCAAGTTCATGTAATAATTTTCTCAACCATATGGCTTCAGTGGTTGCTTTTGTTAAAGCCATATATTCGGATTGTCTGGATGATAAAATAATAGATTATTGTTTCTTACTGCCCCAAGAGATAACTCCTCCAACTAGTAGGAAGCAAAAGTCAGAGGTGGAGCAATGGATGTCCTTATAACCTGCCTAGTCAGCATCAGAATAACCATGGAGAATATCACCTTGAAATAAGTGTTGATATTTTATTCCAAAAGATAATGTACCTTTTATATATCTTATAGTTCTTTTCAAAGTTTGAATATATGTAGATCCTCGTTTAGAGAGATATAGTGCTAAACTGCTGATAGCATAAACACAATCGGGTCTAGAATTAACAATGGCATGCATTAAATTGCCAACAATTTGAAAATAGAGATAATCACATAAAGTAATATGGTCTTCATTATTTAAACGAATTCTTGGCTGAATTAGGATGCTTAATGGATTGGAATTCAACATATTGAATTCATTAAGTTTATTTGTTAAGTATTTGGCTTGATGGAAGATGATCCATCCTTCTTTTCGATTTCTTAATATGACATTGCCTAAAGTATAATGGATTTTTCCTTCATTGGACATATCAAATTCTTGCTGGAAAATATCTTTGACTTGCTGAATTAAACGAAGTTTGTTATTGACAAGAATAAAATCATCAATATAGACTATAATTATGGTAAAATCTTGGTAATATTTTCTTTTTATATATATGTTTGTATCTGATTCAAGACGTTGGTATTTGTGAAGGGTTAAGTATTAATCTAATGGTTGATACCATACTCTAGATGATTGTTTAAGATCATATAGGGATTTATTTAATTTACATATCTTATTAGTATGTATTGAGGATAATCTTCCAGGAATAATCATATAGATGTCTTCTTCAATAAAACCATTTAAAAAGGCTATTTTAACATCTAGTTGATGTATTTCCACATTATATTGAGCGGTTAAAGTAAGAAGAACTTTGATAGAATTAAATTTGACTACAAGAGAATATGTCTCTGTATAATCAATACCTTGAACTTGGGTAAAACCTCCAGCAACTAGCCTTACTTTATATTTGTCAACACTTCCATCAGCTTTAGTTTTGATTTTAAAAATCCACTTTGAAGTGATTGGTTTTTGATTAGGACGTAAATTTGTCATGTGCCATGTATTGTTCTTGTTTAAGGATGTAATTTCAACATTGATTCCTTGTTGCCATTCTTGAGCATCAACTCTCTCCATTTCTTTTTGAATGGAGTTTGGAGCTTCTATGTAAGTAGAAACAAAGTAGGCTTGGTAATGTCGATTACATTGTCGTTTATATTCTTTTCTATCTTGTATAGACTCCAACAATCTTGTGATTGGTTGAATAATTCTTGTTGGTCTAGAACTAGTAGGAAGATTTGGAGCCTTCAATATGGAATGTACTTCATCATTTACAAGAGGTAAGATTTGTTGATCATTTGGTAATGATAGTTGAGAGAAGTCTTCTATGACATCAATGTGAAAAGGGGGTTTTTTTTTACATATTTGAAAGAATACTATGTATTGGTGATTGATCAAATATATGTGTTTCTTGTGGTAGTGACATTGATGTGGATGACATGCCTTGAACAGAAAAGAGGATTTACTCATTGGTCCTTTTAGTTATTGAAGGATGTTTTAATAATTCTAAATCTAGTTAGAATTCTTCATTGTTATTTTGTAAGTATGGAGTTGTTTGTGGATCATGTAGATTCTCATTGAAGAGATCATCTCTTGAAATAAGAATTTGTTGACTTTGTATATTCATAAGTCTATAGGCTTTAGATTCTTCATTATAGCCTAAAAAGATATTCTCTTGTGAATGAGGGTCTAACTTCTTTCTTGTTTCTTTAGGAATGAATACATAAGCTTTGCAACCAAATATTTTAAGGTAGGATAAATTTGGTTGTCATTTATACCATAATTCAAATGATATTTTGGTAACTTGTATAGATTTTGTAGGGCTCCTATTTTGGAGGTAATTTGCTATTTGGAGTGCTTCATCTCAAAAAGTTTTAGGTAATTTTGAATAGGATAGCATTATAAGTACTGCTCCTATTAATGTTCTATTTTTTCTTTTAGAAACACCATTTTGTTGTGGTATATAAGTTACACTATATTCTTGTTTAATGCCTTCTTTGTTACAAAAATCTTTAAAATCATTGGATGTATATTCATCTCCAAGATCAGATCTTAAGGTTTTAATTTTGAAACTTGTTTGTTTTTCTACAAAAAATTTGTATAAGATGAATTTTTCAAATGCTTCAAATTTGTATTTCATCAAATACACTTGAAAATATCTTGTTAGATCATCAATAAATGTGATGAAGTAAGTACATCTTGAATGTGTGCCTACTTGCATAGGTCCACAAATGTCAAAGTGTATAAGTTCTAACAATTGGGTAGCTCTTTGTACATCTTATGTAGGAAACTTTTCTTTATGTTGTTTACCTTCTATATAAGTTTGGCATAAGGTAATTTTTCTTTCATTAAAGGGATCAATCCCCTTTGCCATAGTTTGTATTTGTTTGAGTCTTTGAGGATTTATATGTCCTAGTCTTAGGTGCCACAAATTAGCTTTATTTAATTGTGTTGTTGCTAGAATAGCAATTTGAAGCTTGTTTGAAAGTATAGTTGTACCTAATTCATATAAATCAGGGTTTAATTTGCATATTGCAATGGTTTGATCAAATTTATTTATAAGTATAGTGGTGCCAGCTCTTATGCAAATTTCTCCTTTTGCTTTATCTAATTGTTTGGCAGAGAATAAATTCTTTGCAAGTCCAGGTATATGTAATACATTAGGTATGATCTTCTCATCACCATTTGTAAGTTTGATATTTACATCACCATGTCTTTCTATTATATATGATGTAGTATCATCTCCTAAGTAGATAACTTGTTTGTCTTCATATTTGATATATTTAACAAATCCTTCTAACTCATGACACATATGTTGAGTTGCTCCCGAGTCCACATACCACATTGAATTTGGATTTTCTTTAACTATAAGTGCTGCCACATATAGTTTATTTGTTTTGGTAACAACATTTGTTTCTTTTCTGTTATTACAATTTTCAGTTGCTATTCTTGTTCTGCAATCTTTGATCAAGTGACCTGTTTTCTTAGAGAAAAAGCATTTCTTAATAGAAAAATTGCTCTTTTCATGTGATTTGGAGGTACTACTCTCTCATTGTGAACTCTTCCTGAAATTCTTATTAAAATAAGATTTCTTATTATTATTCTGAAATTTCTTACTTACATACAAGGCTGAATTATTATCAGATGTTAAATTTATGTTTTTCATGAGTGTTTCTTTTTGAATCAAATCTATTATCAAGGATGTTAATGTAATCACAGGCTGCCTTCTTAAGGAGCTAATGAAGGATCTATAATTTAGAGGCAAACTTCTCATTAAAGTGAGAATTGCTTCATCATCTAGAACTATTGATCCTGCTGCCAACAATTGTTCCATATGTGCTCTAAAGGTATGTATGTATTTAATAACACAATCACCTTCTCTCATTTTTAAGGTGTATAATTTGTCTTTTAAATACATCTTAGTTACTGCATCATGAGATTCAAATATTTTTACTAATTCTTGCCATGCTGAATTTGCTGATATGCAAGATTGTATATGTGAAACCATATTTTTTTCTAAGTAATTATTAATTATAGTTAAAGAAAAGGTATCCTTATCAATCCATGCGCTTATACTCCCTACTCTTCTGGCAAGTAAAGCTGGGATTTTGGCAGCTATTTCAGCTTCTATTAGTTCTACTAGTAAGAAATCTTCACCACTTACTATGGACCATAACTTTTCAGCCTTGAAAACTAATGTTAGTCTATATTTCCATATGTTAAAATATGAACCATTGAATTTTATAACATGATTAATGTCTACTTTTTGTGTCATCTTCAATATTCTTAATTTGAAATTGAATTATAATTATTTATAAATTTGTTTTTGATCAATTCAATTTTATCTTTACTTATAGTTTGTATGTTGCCATTTTTAGATCTCGAATTGCTTTTCATGGTTTGATGAACTTCAAGTTCTTCATCAACTTTTGTTGTTATAATGAATTGTATTGATATTATTTTCATTATAAACTATTTTTATAATTTCAGCAATTATTTCTTTAATAAAGCATTCACCAAAGCTTATTTTGAGGATCGAATATTTCTATAACTTTGATACCATGTTGAAAACGTCATTATTATTAATATGATCAATTGATACACAATATATATATTGTGTATACCACAGTGACACCAAGAGTCACAACTCTTGGTGTAAGGTCAATATAGAGTAGATAGTATTCTATACAAGAGACTAATGTACTATACAGTATAATTCTCCCAATAGTTCCATTGCAATGACTGAGAACGAGTGTTAAGTCCCTTTGATTTTCTTTTTGTAGGAGAAAGAGCTCAGGATCAAGGAAAGTGTTGGTGGCAGCCTTTTTCCTCTAAGTTGGTGGATGAAATCGCAGTGGTACTTCGTGGAGAATGTTGTCGTCATCCTCTAATCTGCAGCTATGTGTGTTGGAAGCCACATTTTGTTTTTTCTTGATTTTTTTGTCTAGTTTCTTGTGCGGAGGTGCTGTGATTGAAGGCGGAGGAGCGCATTGCACTGCAGCTTCAGACATTTTTTTTGATGTTTATGTAAACTGGGGGTTCTACCAATCGGGGTGCTTTACCCCTGGGATTGTGCTCCCTGAGTTGTTTTGTTGAATGTGCAAGGGAATTGCGGTTGCTCCTGGTTTTATTTTATTTTTTTCCCTTGTGGCCGCGCTCTGGAGTCGGTTCAGCTTCTCTTCTTGGGTTGTGTGGCGGTTGTAGTCTGGAATATGCTGCTGGTGCTCGTGATGCGGTAGTGACGATTCTTGCGATTTTCTTCTCTAATTAATAGTGATCCCAGAGCTCAACGTCTATGTGCATAAATCAGCTCTTCTACGACATGGTGTTTTGTCCTTCTTCCTAGTTGTAGTGAGGTGCTCTGCCTTGGATCTCTCACTCGGTTCAACAAAAACTCACGTTGCGTAACCCCGAGCTATTGTCTCAAACTAAACCGTTTTCAATGTTAAGATTCAGGGATACACAAGAGCAATAGAAAGCAATCAACTTCCTTGGGATATGAAGATCTAAATGGTGGCCTTGGATCCTAATTTAATTTCGAGACAAAGTAGTGGATCGCTGCAGAAGTAGACCCGCCCGGAAGGGTAGGGAAGGTGGACGCAAAGAGTGTGCTGGTGCATTGAAGGGTGGCCAGTATTAGATTTTCACTCGATCGGAGCTTTGGAGTCACCGCAGCGTTAACCCATCAAAGAAGAGTGTGAGCCCGGGAGGGTGTTGAACTCTGACGTTGTCAAAAAACTCTTTTTGACGTGTCGAGAGCTCAACGTTTCGCCCAAGCCCAGAAAAAGCCGAAGCATATAAATCTCGGTTGACGATTGGATGCTGGGATAGTGGTG